AAAAGTAGAGTATGATTTAAACGCATTAGCAGTCCATTCCTGCTCAGCAGATTATATGGATTGAGGCAGGACTTAAGCCCACTCATGTTTTGCTGAATGGGGATGGACATAAGAAGAGATGGGGCTGAGAACTGGCATTGGCAAAATGGGTGTCATGCTTCTGTAACCCCCAGAAGCCTCTAGGTAGATTTGATCCTGCCTCAGAAAAAAGATTGGATGAAATGGTTCACTGAGATCCCTTCCATTTTTGTGAGTCAGTGGAAAACATAGAAAAAGAGGTGTTTTGTGGTGCTGATTCTTAGTGACATGCTAGTAATCAGATGCAGATTTTTCTCTTGAAATACTTGTGCACAATAATATTCTATGTAATACCTTTGGGGTGTGAAAATTCAAGGTTCTTGATGAAGATAGTGCGTCTCCTATTTTTATCAGGCCCTTGGGTAGTCCTCAGATGGTGCTCACAAGGTCTAATCCATTTCATTCCATAAGGCAGCTTGGATGAAGCCATCACTCCTAGTTTGAGTACCCACAGGAGAGAAGTTTGTAAAAGGAGACTAAGGGTACATGTGTATGGCCCAGTGTTGTGTGTTGCAGAGATACCGTGAGCTAGGTGTAAACACAGTGGCATATGTACACAATGCAAAGCAGCATTGAGCAGAGATACCCTGAGCTACCTGTGCACCCACTAGTTCCAGAACAGGGCGCAGTATAGCTCAGCTAATGAGGCACTGTGCTCAGGCTGATATGGATATATTGCTTTGATTCTGGAGCTAGCTCAGGTATCTCAGTCACAAGTTATCTTTTGCCATATAGATATACCCTGTCTTACCAAAGGTTGGGTATAAACATTATAGACTTACATATGAGGTACACCTCTATCCTTGTAGGCATTCTTTATATTTGACTTATTTTCTAAGATCCAGATCTGGTCCTGCCATACCACGTACACCAGTCTTGGGGCTAATTTAAATCTGTAACTTTTAAAACTTTTCTCAGCCTTACGATACTTTTACTTATGCCCAGGAGCTCTGTTTGCTACAGAGCATGTTTCTGAATATAAAGCATATGCATTTGTATGTCCATGTCCATCTCTAATGCAAACTGTGAATGAAAGCTTGGAATAGTTAAGTATATTAAAGACTGAGCTGAAAGAATATCATGGCTGCAAAACTATATATTAAAACAGGCTGTCCAACAAGTGGCCCATGGGTGGCATGTGGCCTCTAGGGGTTAAACTGTGGTCCCTGGGTGCCAATCCAGGTGTTGCTTCCCCCATTGCTCACTTGCTGCTGTTGCCAGAGCCCCTGGACTCTCCCTCCCTCCTCCAGCTTCAGGTGCTGATGGGACTGAGGGAGCCTGTGGCCAGAGTATGCAGCATGAGCCCTGTGGTGTGGTGCATTGTATCAGTACATGCAGGAGGCCTGCATGGTGCAGCACATCTGCATGATAGGGCTGCAGGGTGCTTTGGGAACCTATGCAGTGTGGCAAGTAGGCTTTGTGGCAGGCCACTAGGGGGTGCTCCTACGCTGAGCCACCCATTTCACTGTGCCCGACCACCTACCAAGCTCTAAGTGCCTCCCTGGGGGTGCCTCATATCTGGCTCACCCTCTTCCAGGAGCACACCCACAAGCCTGGGGTAATGCTGCCACCACTCAAGAGTCTTGGTCTGTTAGTGGCTTTGTGCCTCTTGAGGTACACAAGCTTTTTAGACTGGAAGGGTACTTGACCCACTGCAAGAAATTGGGGTGTTTCTCTTAGTCTGAAGCACAAATAGTGGTCTTCCTTAGTCAGCTGGACCAAGGGGACTCCAAGGCATAATCTAGACCCTGAGGCATAATTTAGACCCAATAAGTCTTCCATGCTAGGTACAGAGGAGAACTTTATTGATTACAAAGAGTAGGTTTCGAGTAGGATACAGGATAGAGCAAAATCAGAGAAATACCTTAGAGCAAACAGTGTGGCTGGGTAGCCTTTGATCACGCATCTGAGTTACTGCAAGCTATATATCTAGTTAGGTTTCTAGGTTTCAAGTAGCTTACTCACAAGGATCATCTAGAGGCTGATAGAGCTTTCCTCCAGAGGCAGGCAGTTTGTAGGGTGTCCATGTGTTTCGAGAGAGAGAGAGGGAGAGTTGCAGATGTTTAGCTGCTCTCTCTGGCTTTATCATGGCTTCCCCCCCTCCTCCTGAGCAGTCTTTAACTTATATAGACCTTATGACCTCATTCTGGGGTCCAATGGAAACTAGCTGAAGTTGGCTACAAGCCAATCAATTAGAAATGCATCACTGGTTGCCGGGTAGACTGGTAGGGGCTCCAGTCCCCCTTCCAGTCATGAGGTCCTTGCTAAGACAACAGGGGTTTAAGTCCCCTCCCTGATACCTGAGGTCTCACAGGTAGGCTAGACGGTTGCTTAGCAATTACAGTGATAGACAGGTAAGAGATCTGGGCACCTGGCCGGCAAGAGCAGGAAACCTGAGATAAAGGGAGCAGGTTCCCTCCCACCTCAGGAATGTCTTCAGCTTAGGTCACATAGTCAGGTCAAGAGACAATGACAAAGAGGAAAAATACTGGTGAAGGAGGTACAGGGAGGAGGCTGGGATGGGATGGGAAGTCCTCCACAGGCTTGGGTGGGGGCCCATGCAGTGTGGCTGCAGGGTGGGGTTGGGGGGCTCACGTAGCATATTGTGTGGCTCCTGGTCACTCAGAAGTTTAAACAGCTGTGTGTTAGAAAGTCAAGAGATACCAGATTTGGGGCTGCCTGTCCATTGTGATCCTCATCTTTCAGCTCAGTATGTCAGCACTGCTGCATCCCCCACTTAATTTTAATCCCCTCACTTCTGTAGCTCTCTGGGGAGATCCCAATTAAATTGTTGTCAGAGGTTGCACCTACTCTAACGCCCAGGAAAGCATCAGCAGAAGACCGCCTGAGTGCTAATGCAAATGTTTCCATGTGTAATTCCTTCCAAAATCCCCCCAAACTTAAAAGCAAAGCAAAAACCCCAAACAGAAATATTCAAATGTTACCCAGTTTCTGCTGTTTGAGGCAGAAAAGATAATGAAGCTCTGCCCCTGCTCCTCCCCCTGTGGAGACATCTCTGAACGCAGAGGGATTCTGGGTAGCATTTCAATGCAACATTTGCTTAGGCTTTCCTTATTCTGCCATTCCCCTGTCTCATTGAAGCAAAAAATTCTTGCCTGAGTTGAGCAGTCCTTTCTGCTCGGCATTGCTGGCACAGCTAAGGTTAAGGGTTAGAGCCTGAGCATTTCTTTTGCTTAGAGTGTTAACCTATCCTCTCTGCGGTGAGAGCATAAACTGATAGAATTTTGATGTCTGCTAATCCCAACCCCAGTCTCTGATAGTCTCTTGTGATGCGCTTGTCTGTCACAAGGACATCTGAGAGCACATCCCATTGTTCTTTGCTCCCAGCTGAGCTTCACTATTATTATTTCCCAGTGCTTTGTGGTAGAATGTCTCTGTCCTTTTGATTACACAGGAGGAATAGCGTCATAGAGAAGCAGGCCTGGAAGGGACCTCTGGAGGTCATCTAGTCCAACCCCCCACCTCTGTCAGGATCATCCCTATCCAAATCATCCTGTACAACCATAATCTAAACTCTACATAAGACTACTTTCAACCCTGACACAACATAGTCCTAACCCCCTAACCTGCCACAGGTAAAGCAGGGGAATGGTGGCAGCCAATGTCCTGCTTTTATAAAATGTTGTCAATATACACTCGAGGCCCTGGGTAGAAGACCATGCCTCCTGCTACAGAGGAAGGCAAAAACTCCCACGGTCCATACCAGGCTGACCATGGGGTAAATTCCTTCCTGATCCCAAATATGGCAGTCGGTCTGACCCTGAGTGGAGGGGCAAGACCCTCTAGCCAGGATCCTCTGGCTTTGTCTTCAGCAAGAGAATCTGCACACCCCAGTTGAAGTCCCCAGCCAAAACCCACCGCCTCTGGGGAGGTTTAAAAAACACCCTGACACATGTAGCAGGGAAAAAGGGGAGCGGGGGGAGGGTGGGGGCAGAGCAACCAGCAACACCCAGAATCGTGGGAAATACCCATGACAGAAAATAGGCATAGCTACTCCTAGATCACCCCTGGCCAGTGGCTGTCCAACCTCTTCTTGAACACCTCCAGTGATGGAGAATCCACAGCTTCCAAAGGCAGCCTAGTCTACTGCATCACTATTCTCACAGTGAAGAGGTTTTTCCAGATATCCAATCTACACCTGCTTTGCTGCAACTTCATGTTATTGATCTATGTCCTCCTCTGTGCAGCAAGAGAGAAAAGGTGTTTTCCATCCTCTTTATGGCAGCCCTTCGAGTATTTGAAGACTGCTATCGTGTCCCCTCTTAAGCACCTTTTCTGCAAGCTGAACATGCTTAGCGCCTTCAGCCTCTACTCATATGACTTGTTTTTCAAGCCTTCAATCATCTTTGTTGCCTGCCTCTGGGGCCTCTCTAACTTCTCCACATCCATTTTAGTATATGGAGCCCAGAACTGTACATGATACTCTGGATGGGACCTTAACATTGCCTAGCAGAGAGGCATGATCACCTCCTGTGTCTTACACCTGATGCTGCTATTGATGCAGCCCAAGATTGCATTGGCCTTTGGTGCGGCTGCATCACACTGCAGACTCATACTGAGTCATAGTCTGCCAGGCTCCCGAGTCCTTTTCCATGGCGTTGCCATCCAGCAAATGTCACCCATTTTATTTTTGTGTTTTTGATTGTTCCTCCCAAGATGCAGCATCCTGCATTTATCCATATTGAACTTCATCCTGTTAGCTCTAGCCCAACTTCCCAATCTGCTGAAATCCTTCTGAACTGCACTCTCATCCCCCAACATGTTCACTGTCTTCTCCAGTTTGTGTCATCCAGAGACTTGCTCAGTAAGCTTTCTATGCCAGCATCCAAACTGTTAATTAACACGTTGAACAGCATTGGGCCCAGGACAGACCCCTGTGGGACTCCACTTGAAAGTCCTGCCATTCTGACATGGACCCAGAAGGCATTGAGGGACTATCAGTATGTGAGTGATTAGCTTCCAGCCAAACTGCAAAGCAGGCACGTTATCAGTCTGCACAGTATGGCACAGTGTGATGCAGAGATACCAAGCTAGTGTAAGTTCTGAAGCCATTCTAGCTAAACCAGCAAGGAGCTCCTCAGCAGGGTAAATTTGCCCACATGTAGCTGTGCATTGCTGGGGTATGTTGCTTCCAACCTACCTTGGGCAGCTCTATACCACTGCATCAGTCTGGGTTGAAAGCATCACCAAATTCAGGTGTGGATAGGGGGAAGGCTTACCTGTAAAAGCCAGATTAGCTGTGCAATGAAGAAAAGTCTCAACTCTGTACTGACATGGTTTGTTTTTATATGGTAAAACTTAATCTATCATTAAAAAAATAGATAAAAGGATTGCCTTTTTCTTGGACATAGAAATCACTCAGCACAGTGTGAAAGCAAACCCTGACCAAAATACTGCTTGTCTGCATGGTATCTGGAGATCTTAAAATTTCAAAAGCCTCTTTTAGTCAGGTGTGGAATACAAAGAAGCCCTCAGTTCATACACTTCCGAAGCATGTCAGTAGGAAGTGCAGCATGCTAGATTAGACAATTTGATTGCCTTTCTCTCAATGACCTTTTTAAAACTAAATGCCCACTCTGAGAGAGTTCATGTCTAATCATGCATCTGGCATGGCATTCAGATAGGCCAGATATATGCTCTCACATTTTCTCAGTGTTTTTCAGGACATATTGGCTGTGTTCAGATGAGCAGGGGCATGTAGTTTATGGCACCACAAACTGCATGTGTGGAACATTAAAATGTGCCCCTCACTACAGATTTTCAGTGCAGGGACAAAATTTGTTACCAGGATTTTCCAGTACCAACCTCCTCCCCCAAAAAAATAAATATGAAAAAAAGCAGCACAGTGCACACTACAATAGCATGCTCAAAACAAATGGAGGTTTTGGCCTCCAGTGAGACCAGAGTGTCTCTGTGCTTTATTTGTGCCCTGGCTGTTCCAGCACACTGGGAGGAGATGGGTGAGGGCAGTTTGCCCATAGTGGGAAAATGTATCCCACAACAAACCACACATGCAGAGTGTGCACTGCAGCACAAAGTAGGGGCACAAATTTGTTCCGCTACTATTTGTGCCACTGCAAGCCCCTACTCATCTGGATGTAGCCATTCTGTTTAATTCATAGATTCATAGATTAAGGGTCGGAAGGGACCTA